TTTAAGTATATGTACATGGAGTACCTAGACCAATTTGCACCGGGACACACAAATATCTAGCTACGACATTGGATGTAAAATACGTGCGTAAGCATACATAATTGTACTGCGGTATTACAATCCGTGGTCAATTGACTAGGAAACGAGTTTTATTAGGAAAGTGAACGTGTAATGGTATAAATAAAACATTGTACTGCGGGCCGAAGGGAAGTTTTAGAAAGTAACGAACTGCAAATAGATATTACACGGCGAGGGACAAGTAGGTCGAAAACGTATTGTGCACATAAAATACAATCTAAAATCTATAACGAGCCCGTGCATCGAACGTTATTTTAGGCGTACACGACGAGAGCGTAATGTAGTGTGTACACAACGGGCAGCATTGGTGTTATGCAAAACGAGAGCGCTGGGAAACACGCGATTTAAACCGAAACGGAAATCTTAAGGTCGAATGCCCCCACGGGGTCGACGAGAAACGAAAACGGAACATAAAATATGTATACAGTAACCATCTGACAGTGATGGACGTTCGACGGACGAGTATATTATTGTGAATATGAATAGTTAACTGTATGAACATTGACCACCGTAGTTGGCAAACGAGAGATGTTTTCAACGTAATATATTATCATTCACGTGAGACTTGATTGTAATGAACGCGACGTTATTTTAGTATACTCGATCAATTTGATAAAGTAATAATGTTGTAATTTATTTGATATTATTTTTTCTTCTTTAGGAGATGATCATATGTATATTCGGCCGTTCAACCTCGACCCACCAGTGCTTAACGGCACTTCGTTAATGTTCGATATTATACATTGTTTGGATCTGTTGCAATTTTTTCCGGTTTTATTTATTTTTATCGAAAAAAAAAGATCTTCATGATATAATCTCAATTTCAAAAAAACCACACGAAAAGGAAAAAAGTACTAAAATGACGTCGGGAGTCAAAAAAGCTTGGGAACGGCTGTTTAAGAAAATCTAAATGATAAATCGATTCTATTTAATTTTTCGTACGCATAAAACGAGTGATGAAAATAAAAACCAAAACAATATTTTTAAAATACATCGATCGACGATGAATTTGCGTTCACTTTGTTCTACCTCTACTACTACGTGTTATACTACACAAACACCGCGGACACACACATGTACAACAACGGTCTTTCAACTTTCACGTCACATTTTCACCCCTCGAGATTTCTCTCAAAGGGCCTTCGACGGAGCACGATTCCACACAATGCCGTTATTTTAATAACGGCCCGACGTGCATAAATTATTATGTTTATGACGTTATATAGCGCACGTTTTTGCACTGTTGATGAGTAGTGTCGGATGACAACACGTTTCCATTGTCTTTCTATGGGTCATAAAAAATCTCGGATGTGACAAATTCTTACTGCCATTGCCACTGCAGCAGCAAATCCGATTCGATATTATTATTACAACGGCAAAGGTCCCGGAAAGCGCAGTAGGACAAAATACTTAAACCATTCACATTATTTCCGTAAAATATGTTAAGCCGACACGTGTTTATTATTATCTAAACGGATTCGTGCGTTCTCATGCGTTTATGGTTGTATAATATGTTATCTAAGTATATTCTACGACGAAATCACTAAGGACATGATCAATTTATCGCTTTAGACACCTATTCCGGCTTATTTAGGGTCGGTTTTAAACAGGTTTTTTTATCATGTGATATTACGAACCATCGACCGTACATCGTCACTACGACGATTTAGAACGATATTGTTATGGCATTATGCGTGCCATGCTGTGTCGCGGAGAGAACTTTCGAGCCGAAGGTAAAACAAAGTTTTCCGGCCTTAAAGTACCATAGACAATAATACAATACGCGGAAACACTTTCAGTTTATTTTTTATTCCTCAATCATTGTTGTTATCTGTATAGCTTTAAAAATTTATCTCCTCTCGCTCGTGATATTATATGACACGGAAGAAACTAGTTTTTATTTTCATACCGATATTCAGTCACATTTTAACAAAATAAAAGGTTTTAACTATATGAATAATGCTGTAATAATAAAAGAAAATTAGAAAATAAAACAAACTATATGCATCTCATCTGGTATGTATACTCGTATTATTATATTTTGATGTTGTTCTAAATTTGAATTTTCCCGCTTTCTTTGCCACAAATTATTTTATTTTCTCATCCGAAATAAAATGGTTATTTTTTATTTTTAAATACATATGAGTTTCTACATTATTTACTTGCAAAACTTTTTTATACAATATTGTTAAATTATAATACTGCTATTATCCAAAGGAAGGGTCCATCGAGATACACAATTAATTGTGAATAATTAAAAAAAAAAAAAAATTATTAATACTTCATAAAAAACAGTGGTTACATGAGTTTTTCACTGCTCCAGTGCCAAATTGAGTCCAAATAGAATGGACTACGGGCACAAATATCGAGTACGCTATGGATCATAATGGTCTAACGCAGTGTTTCCCAACTTCTTTTACCCGCGGAACCTTTGCAGGAGCTTAAACGTTTTGTGGAACCCCAATATTTTTTCTATAATATTAATACAGACATATGTATTTTACACTTAAATGAGTGGGTTATCAGACACTTCCGACACAAGAGTGTCATTAATATAAAAAAAAACAAGACGGTTTTAACATTTTATTTTGTTTGTTATCTACTATTACAATATTATAAATGTACCTACATATCAAAGCTTAAAATGCAATATTTGCCTCTCATTACTTCGAAGATAGATTCAATGAGAAGATTGGAATCATTCCATAGTGTTTTTTCATAACTGTTTTTAAATCTAAAGTTATTCCTGAAAGTTGGATTTGTAAGTCCGGAGCCGCATATACTTAATTTCGAAACTTAGTCTTTGTATACGCCGAAAAGCTACAAACTACGAACCTCACATCGGGAAATGTTTCAATTCCAATTCTATGTTGAGTTCTATGTTCAAATCATAGTTCAAATCAAAATATTGCTAATTAATTTAAATTTTCCCAAATTTCTCACGGAACCCTTAGGTTCCACGGAACACCAGTTGGGAAACACTGGTCTAACGAATGAAAATACACGATTTTTCATTTTCCAATAATGTGTTACATCTAAAATAAAGTTACAAATTATATTTCATAATGAATAACGTAGGTATACATTGTACAGGCGCAGATCCAGGGGCTCATGGGAGTCATGACCCCCTCCAGAAAAACATCAAGAATAGGTCCTTCGTGTTTATTTAAAAATTAAAATGTGCATAAATTATGTTTTTAATTTTTTTCAATTAAATTTCTTTTTGCAATAAAAATATTATACTACATATTATATTTATAAATATTTAAACTATATCACCACTTGTTCATAAAACCATAATTTCCATCCAACTTCTAAGAATATTAATATTGATTATAAACTTATTGATAGACTATAATAGTGTTGGCGAATAAATATAAATATATTAGTAAATCTGCGGAAATTTTTGAGTATTCAGTCTTCGACGTAAAGATAACTTATAAATAAAATTACTGTCAATCCGTTGGCTGGTACCGAATTTCCGGGTACCTGGTTTCCGGACTCCAACCCCACATGCCGAATTGGTTCTCGTTTAAAAAAGGTATTTTATTAAGTATAGCCGAAATGGTTTCCGTTTAATTACGCACATTTTCCTTCTCAATTTTACAGGCTTAGGACTGTCAATTTTAAAGTAGGCTTGGTTAACAATGTGCGGTAATGTATATTAAAAAAAAAAAATGATAAAATTTATACAATTTTAAATCGTTGATTTCAATGCTGGCCCGACGGTTTTCGGGGCCCGGTGCAGAATTTTGCGGGCCTCATACAAATATATTAATTTATTAATTGTTTATATAAATTTTTGTTTTTTCGTATTATTACATAACTAAATATATACTATAACTTTATTTCGAACTGTCGTCGACGATAAACAATTTTACAAGTGCATGCGCGTATAATACTTCAAAGCTATGCGTAATTGGTACTATCTTAATTTTCATCGATAACAACCCGTTTACTGAGAAGACCACACGACCACGCGGGTGGCAATTCGCGTACTGGGACTATAATATTTTTATTTACAAATAAAGTAATAATCATAATATATAATTTGTTGGGCCCCAAGGGCGTATTTAGATATTTTTATTTTTTTTGATGGGGGGGTTGTGGTATTTTCTCCAACTGAAATTCCCCAATTCAGCCCATTAAAAACAAAAGTTCGAAAATTATTATACAAAATTTACCTATAATAGCGAAAAAAAGTAACAACTATACGACGTAAACCGATCACCGTGATAGTATTATCGGTCGTCGCCGTCACTTCTCGGAAATTATTTAGCTCATAGGGGTTCGTATAAAAATTGTTCGGTAATTGAGACGCCACAACGCGTATATATCAGTAAATCAATTCTAGGTAAAAGAAATTGAAATTACGATAATGTAGCAGTACCGTACGTCAAAATTAAGCACAATGTACCAATCTCAATGATATAATCGTTACGATCAAAATCGTCAGGCCCTTTACATGAATAACTTGTTTGTTGTTACTAATAATTCTTTATAAAATTATATTGAACTTTTACGATTTACATCTGATAGGACATCATAAGCAGACTTAATAAACAATTTCTGGATTTCGGGAAGGGGAGCTGAAGCCCTCTTAGCCACTCCATAAATAAACCCTTGTGGGCCCCCATAAGAGCGCGGGACCCGGTGCGGTTGCACTGCTTGCCCCCCCCCCTAGAGCCAGCACTGGTTGATTTGGAAGTCAACTAGTCATCACTTAAGTGTACGAAATACAAATAATAAAATATATGTTCAATTAATACACGCCATATCGATTCGAGTCAATAATCCTTATCCAACATTTGGATATTTATAAGTCTGTACGAGAACAATCTTCCCCCTCCCGGCTCTTGACTAGTTCGTGTGACCTATACCGGTACAAAAAGGCCGTTTTGCTGTCGTGTGCGAGCTCTCGTGCGGTACGGACCTCTCGCACGTTCGTGTGTTTCACCAGCGTCCTGCCCTTTTTGGTTGTGTTCATCGAAGACTGTGCATCTTTGTCTTGTCAGTGTGCATGTTACCGCTGGGTATTGTCACGGCTGGATGAGTAAAGCTGGGTGGACGTCATCGTTCTTTTTTGTATCATCGCTTTGGTCGTGCTGTCGAATCCAGTCCAGTTGTATCCGTCGCGGACAGGTTTCTTTTTCTTTTTATTATTGTTGTATTAAAAAATATTATTGTATTATTGCCGATACGGCTTCTCTGTTTATACATTTTGTATTATGTTTATTATTAGTCTTATTAGCTTTATAGTTCCCACCCCACGGACGTGCGTCCCTAATGCTGTATGTCATTAGTATTTATTTATAATAGTACGTCGGCGCTTTACGGCCCGTCATTTAACAAAAACGCGCATTCTTGTTTTCTTATTCGTACTAAAGTCACACGGTCTGTCGTACAAAATCCATTGATTTCCTTGGGGTATTTTGGGTACGTGTTGCCGTCATTCGGGTCAACCTCACGGTAAGGAACCCGTTGACAAACAATATAATAAATACATTTTAAAACCACTGATTTGCAAATTTGAAGCTAACTTTCTTTAAACATTCAATTCTCATAATATTCTTATTAATGTACTTAGTCATACAATTTTCCAAGTATTTGTTATTTCTTTCCTGTTTGCTAGTAATTTGCTAGTCTCTAATAATCTATATTATATCTATTATATTTCTATACTCTATCTTATGATAATATAATAATTGTGTCTATATGTCATACATATAGCTTTTAAAATTTTGTTTTTTGCTCTCTATGAACTGTTCCGCCTAACCTGTGTACAAATGGGAACCAATTCGGCTATACTTAATACAATAATTTTTTCAAACGGAAACCAATTTGGTTACTCCCAATCCGTTACCCGTATGTTTATATAATATTATACCATATACTTGCTATGCCACCGCTAACCGCTAATTTAGGTTCTAATAACTTGTTAAAAAATACTATACATGCGATCATTCTCTTAGGCGTCTTAAAATGGTTTAAGGCTTCGTTTAAACACGGGAAAGGAACGCTTTGCTCAATATTCACAAGAATATACCCATAAATGTTGATAATATTATTTCTAAATTTGGAAAAATAACACAAAGAAGATGAAACTTTGTTATTTAATTTTAAAAATTAAAAATTTCATATATTCATGACGTTCTAATTTGAATTAATAATTTACTTTTATTATTTTGTAATTGTGTATTATCTTTTTGTACTTTTGAAAAAATGACCCCCCCCCCCCCAATTTGAGTTATAGATCCGCGTCTGACATTGTATTCTATACACTATATTGTGATAGTTTTATTATTTCTCTCAATACATTATATTCTCTCGGGAATTTTATTTTGATTATTATCTTAAAGCTAATTAAATTGTTTGTAATACCCGAAATATGTCTCGGGAATGCTTCCTGTTCGAACAGGCTATAGGCACGTACTGATAGTACCATTTCTGGTCCACCAATTAATTATGTATACCGCGTAGTAGTGCCTATTTAACGATATTTTCGAGGAGACCATTTGAGTTCTGGAAAGTTTACTACATACAGTGAAACTTCCATGTAACGAAGTCTCATTGGGAACAAATAAAATTCGTAGTATACAGGAATTCGTTAAATAGAATTACATAAAATATCGTTATACAAAAATTCGTTTTATGAAAATTTCATTGTATATAGTACGTTTGATCGGATTATTCTCTAAAAAGTCTTTCCGCGAGCCTTCGACTCTGTTAGCTTCGCATCGGTTAGCGTATTGTTCACTATATCGGTCCAGTGGTTAATCACTTATTACTTACCGCATCTTTTGGATTGGCGTAGAGATCCAATTACATCGAATCCCCATCTTTGGCCATTCCATTCATTGTTTTTGGACAAACATTCTAGTAGAATATATTTGCTGATCCTGGGATAAAGGACATCCATTGTATTCCGGCTGGTCCTTGTTGGTCCCTCCGCCGCCGCCACCTCTGGCTGGTCCTTCCTCCCCCTCTCTTCCTGTTATCCAACCCGCTATGCAACCGCAGCGTTATCGTTTTCGTATACGACCGACTTGCGTTCTAGCCATAGATATATATATTAAACTAGATAGCCGACTCCTTTTAATCGTTGAAGTCTGGCAGCCATATGCAGTTTGGGCAATGTTTACACTTTGTTATCATTATTGATCATAGTGATAAGTAACTGATTATAAAAAATCGAATTTCAAATATTTAATTTTTATTATTCTATTGGTCAAAAATTAATATTTATTACTGTATAACACTCAAGTACTATAACTGAGTGCCCAATGCCAGTAGTGTATATTGGCCTGTGAAAATTTAGCAATTGTAATAGAATACTGTAAACAATTGCATAGGTAAGCCTACAATTTTCATTTTCAAATCTAAAAATGTACAATTACCTATTTATATAATGTATATTGTAAGTAATATTTATTTAATGTTGCACATACAAAGAAATCAGGTTAAATTAAATTAATTAATATAATATAATAATAAAAGATTCAATAAATTATCAAGTGTTAACACAATAATACATATATATATATATATATATATATATATATATATATACATATTTACATAAATAATTAACTCACCATAATGTGTTTGGATATAAAAACTGTACAATAAATATAATTCAGTAATGTTACAGCAAAAAATAAGAGGACTTTCAAGTCACAGAAGTTTACCGTTAAACAAAAAGCAATTTGAATTTTGATTAATTGATATCACGAGGATTGATAACATTCATATTTTGTAAACATTGCCCAATCTGCATATGGCGACCAGGCTTCATATTTGTATGTATAGCCTATACATAGTAGCTATCTAGTTTAATATATATATCTGTGGTTCTAGCGAACAAAAATGATAAGATATATTTAAAAAAATATTATCAGGGTATGATGTATTGAAAACAAATAATTTTAGCAGGTAAAGAGAAGTTGAAATATATTGTACATAAGTTAAGATTTATTTGTTCGGTTTGCACATTTTAAATATTATTGAAATATTTTTTCTTTAAAAATAATATCTGCTATCAATACATTTTAGATAATAATAAATAACAATAACCAAAGTATTTATATTTCTTAACATATCCATGACTAATAAAAATTAATTTTAAATAAGTAGGAATATTTGGGGGCTTTTGCAACTTCTGCTACCGACATCGAACCATCGTTGACCCAGAAGTTTTCAAACTTAAGTTTGCTTAAGTGGGATCAAACATTTGAGCCGGCTCCTGTAAGTTTCTGTCCGTAATTCGTACTTCTTTCACTTTTTATACTTTTTTACTAAAATCTGAGACAAGAGTTAGAAAAAGCGTGTATTGAGTTGTGGTGCTATCGCGCGCTGCACGCGCATCGAAATATTAATGATAACAGCTCCTGCATGCACAATATCATGACGGTTAAATTCTGCTTTTAGCATAGAGTAATATTATATTACTCTATGCTTTTTTGACACTCTTGCGTGTTGCTTTGTTGCAGTATCGTTCGGTAGAAGAGATATGCCTCCGTGGATGACCGGTAAATAGCGTATGCTATTTTATCATACGTTATCATCATATAAAAAAAAAAAAAGAAATAAATAATACGCCCAAAAATAACGACTGCTATTCAGTGTATTCATAACTTTGATTATGTTTCAGTCTAAGTTAAAGCCATCGTCTCAGTGTCAGAGTTTCATAAGTCCGCGTATCTAGTCGTAAGGTGGTGACACTAAAGCATTTATCTTCATTGTGTTGTCCACGGTGGCCATAACCTACATGGAAATGTCATCGGCATTGACTCGTTTTCTATCGTTTGGTCCATATTCGTGTATACACGCAAAGTTTGTGAACTCATCGTCCGTTTACAACCTTTTTTATAAAACCACGTTTTCGTTCGTTTTTGTGCTGTGTCAGCCTTTTAGTAAGTGTCGTTTTGCGCATTTTATTGTCATTTTGTTTATTATTATATGGTTTCCCTTGTTTCAGCAGCGATTGTGAATAACGTGGTTTAATGCATTGTCGTCTTCCAGCACTGTAGAATTGTGAAATTCATCGTGAGCAAGTGTTGACATACAAGTTTATGTGTGGGGTAATTTTTATACCTTTTTGTTGTATTCATTCTAAAATAATTGCGGACCCTTGCGTTCGACGGCTTGATTAAATATCATAAAAAAAATGTCCAGGTTAATAAATATCTAAATATTTTTGAGATAGACAAATTGATAACCTATGGATTTTTATATAAATAAAATAATAGATACCTACTTATCTATTTTGTTTTTAAATTATTTTTATCTAGTTAAATCTCAAAACTTAAAACCGACCAATACTTTCATGTGACTATGTTGTAGATGGCGAATTTCATCCAGTGCACCAGGGATGTGAGCAATACAAATGAATTTAATACAATAAAGGCACAGCCCCTGCGTGCATGCAACCACTGAACCACAGTCACGAACGAAGATACAAGTTTGCAGCGTAGGACGAAAACCACATTAAATCACAATTGATGCTGGTAAGTGAACACCCTAAAATATGGTAACGAATAAATGTAAGGCAATGAAGTTCTGTAGAACAACACTCATCAAACATCAAAATAAAGAAAAACGTGGTTTAAACAAAAAATGGCTTAGTACCTTATAATAACACACGTGAACGAATTCGAGGTGCTCACAATGAAAAAAGACAAGAAACGAAAAATTAACTATACATACTCATAAATGTTTTTAAACGCAATAAATAACTGGTGAGCACCAATGAGACTAACACGAACTGACACTAGTCAGAACCAGTTTGAACAGAGTTCTTGATTTGCACGAAAATTGTCAACGAAACCATGAATATACTGAATGGATATAATATAATTGTGCTCTAAGAAAACATTTGTTATCTTACTCGTTCACCTGTTAAGATATTACCTTCCGATAACGTATTACAGATAGAAAAACAAAAGTAGTCAACAAATGGGTTATTGTTTATTCGGACGGAACTACGCGAATGCGCCTGTTCCGGTGCATCGCACCTGCGTCCAATGCCCAACGGATTTATGCGGAAAAATGCAGATAAAAAGGTCGAAAAACGGCACAGCGTTCGAACCAGGAAGCAAGTGATCCACTGACGTACGTGTCACGCAAGTGGCGTCCCACAAAATCGGCCGCGCTCTTTTTTCGATCGTGCACAGCCATCTCTGCGTTCGGTACATTTGTCCGTGCGAGTGTGTAAACGATATCGGTTTACCGACGACGTTTAAACCAGGGGTCGGTAACCTTTTGAACCACGCGTGCAATATTTATCTTTCAGATGTTTATCAAGGGCCACATTAAAAAATATTTTTACATATTATATATATTCTAATAATTGTATTGCTATTATATTTGATTATTTTACATAGAAATATGAGTGTAAAAAATACGAATGTTACTGGAAAAAATTGCTTTTAAGAAAAAATTTAATTTTTTGACAAATTAAACATAATGGCTTACCTTTGTTTTCAACGAAAAAGTATAAATCAACCCAAGAGTTATTAAACAAACGATGTTCATCACCAATTTTTTCTTTTTTTAGTCGCCATAATGTTTGGATTTATTTGTAAAACGAAACTTTATAAACGAAAACAGTCACACGTACGGGCGTAATCACAGTGTAATACTAATTGCTACAAACGCAAATTAAATATACCCATAGATAAAATATATTAGATACATATGTATTAAATACATAGATTAAATATATATAAGTGTATTTAATTTATCCTATGACTGAGTAGTGCAGATGTCATTATCTTCGACTCCGATTAGATAATAATTACAATTTTATAGATTAAACTGACTATATAACTATATAGAATAAACATCAACTATTAACGATTAGATTAGATTTTATTTATAACGAAAAAAGAATTGAATAGTAATGAAAATTATATGAAAAATTTTATTGAAAAAAAATAAAACAAAAATTAACCACCTTTGTGCGGGCCATGAAAAATGGCTTCACGGGCCCCAAGTTGCCGACCCCCGACAATTCGGTTAAACAGTTGGATACGGATCGATGAAGAAAACGGGCTGCGGTTGAGATCGGCAATGATTTTGGTGTCTCTGGTCGAATCATGTGATTACATGTTTTACATGACCAATTACGTGTTTTTTGTGCCATAATTTGTAATTTTTTTTTTTTTTTTGTGTGTGGCTACAGCAACTCGTTAACCCTCGTTGTTGGTGACGGTATATTTTTAACATCTTTGTTGACGCGTAAGCGTTTTCGCTCGCCTAGTAAAACATGTAGTGGTTTTGATTGGAAATAACCAAAAAACACTACTAAATTATTTGATAAATATTAAAAACCTATGGTTATTATATTTATTAGGGTTTTTTTTATATCCACATGCGTACAATTTTGATTTCGTGATAATGACGGTGCATTCTTAAAACAACATTTGCTCGGAATTCTATAAACACGTTTGTAAAAATAAAAAAATAAAAAAAATGTTATGGCTGAAATGTTAACGACGAAGAAGCATCGTAATATGCAAACGATCAAAAGTACTAATAATATGTAATAAGGAAAGAGAGTTTTAGTTTCCCGTAAACCATCGACTTGACTATCCGAGTTGTTTGAAACTTACGGCAATACAGTATAACACATGTACATACTAATTTTAGTCTCTGTGCATTGTTGTTTCCGATCGACTCGTACCTTTCCGGTTGAGACTACAAGAAGCACTAGTGTTACACCAATACACTACTGCTATACATCGAACGTATTCTCGAACGCGAGACACCATGGATTCACTACCATGCACATCAGTATGGGACTTGGGCTTGCCGACAACACCAGTGGACATGAGCCCTGAGAACGTGAACTACAGCCTCAGCGACATGGTCAGGGCCAGTTGGTGAAACTGCGCGAAACGTTAATGTCTAACCTGAAGGAAAACATTGCGAATGATCGCAGATCTGCTGGAGACGTAACGATCGAAATGTTCGTAGAAAAGTGTTTGGGCGAAATGGAAAAGGATGCATTGAGGAAATGCATAGTAGCCAAGATCTACTGCGAAGTGATGAGTAGAACGGTACGTGTATATCTGCTCTGTGGTACCCGGAATTCACCCCTCTGTCCAAACACACACACTGTGTAATTCGCGATAATGGTCAGAGTACGGAGTAGCACTTAAAAAAAAAGAAAAAACCTCGCACTACTTTCGACTCTTTCTGTCCGCGGGCGCATTAAGGACTCCACGTGGATGCACTAAAACATCTAATACGACAATATTACGCTAATGATTCGCAATCGTAATGCTTTCTATGGGTAAATATATAGACGAAGTGAATAACAGCACGAGCTCGTCAACCGGCTGATGACGACGATCATAGCGCATTCGAACAGTAGGAATCGTGAAACTGCATCGATGATGGAGATCGCTGCTGTCGACGTCGACGAGGAACCGCAAAACCTCTGTGGCTACGCGTATCAACTTCCAATCCTAACACTGACACAAGTCTTCGGTTACTAGATTATGAGCATTATTAAGGTGCGTTTAGACGGCGCGAGTTTGACTCGCGAGTATGACTCGTGAGTCATACTCTCGCATCACTACCGTGAGCGAATCCCACGAATCTGATTCATGGTGAGTCGTGACTCACCTAGATAAAGGGTGAGCCGTCAGTATCCGCGAGGCAGCCATGGCAAATGTTCCTACTGTGAGTCCTATGGTACCACCTCGTGCGGCTGCAGCATTTGCCTTTATTGCAACCCATATTTAAAAAAAAAGAATTGCAAGTCGGCAAAAACGTCAACGCCGTTGGTGGATAAAAGAAATATTTTGCCAGCGATTTCAATACGGAAACTGGCTAATGAGGGATATGCAAGTCGAATTAGTTGATGACCTCATCATGAATTTTACGCGCATGACATCTTCGCCTTCAATGCTGAAACTGGGAGTTGTAAATATGCTCCAATTTCTCGCCAGGCATCCTCTCGCTTGTTTTTATTGTGATACGCCTTTTCTCGCAAATTCCACAAAATAGGATATTTTTTATATGTTTCAATTAATTGAATACATTTAATTTGATCCATTTTGATGATGCGCACAGACAAATAATTAAAACTTTTACACGGCGCGAAACAAAAGTGCGAATCGCCTTTGACGCGCACCTCGAGACCGACTGACTGACGGCTCACCGCGCATTCGCTTCGCGAGTCGTGATTCGCGTTCTACAGCCGTCTACACGTCACGAGGATTGATGCGCGAGTTTGACTCGCGAGTCAAACTCGCGCCGTCTAAACGCACCTTTACAAATAAAAACTAACACTTGTTAGATAGACAACTCACGACCCTTAACGGTTAACTCCCGACCTCGTGGAAAACGAAAAATGTCTTTGCCCCAAAGCATACGTTATTATGTTTCGTTAAAATAAACGTTTTATTTACGCTTGCAGATCAATAGGGTGAATAGGGCATTATGACACACGCCACTAAGAATTTCAAGTGCACATCAATATTTCCGGGATCGATAACAAAGGACATTGTGGACCCGAGTGTCGTGCTACCCGAGATAATTAACATCATTATGAAGGAAAAAGATATTAGCACTATGATGGCTATGACGCATGAATTCCGCATGAACATGAAAAGACTACCCCAAGCCATGTGAGCCCGGATAGACCAGGAGCTAAACCAGATGTTTGTTTACTGCCTTGATCTCGGGTATCGACCGATGTTCCTGTCCATGGAGAAGGAACGGATAATTTCTTACGATAGGATCATGCGGTTGGTCTTGGATCGCATGAAACCATATTTTGACCTCGAGCGAATCGCCAAGACCTTTGACTTTGAGATCCTTAAGTCTAACTCATATCGAGGACCATGATGGATAGCGCCAGCGACCCGAGTACGATACTTTATTATTTTATTGTTACGTGGCAAAAGTGATTTGATGTTTTTCAGTATGTTCTAAACATTGGCGCAACTAGACATTTGAACTAGGGGGTGCTTAAGCTCCAGATTTTTTAATATATCGATTGATATATTATTATTAGCAATCATAAATAATAATATAAGAAACTTAGAAATGTCTCTAACACAACATACGTAATATGTAAATGTAGTGTTTTGAGTTACCTACAAACACTGTAACCTAAGACGATTTATTATAAATCTTAGTATCCTAGTAGACTGTGCTGTGTTTGTTGTGGTATATCGGCGTATCACCCGTATGCCAGACGTCATAATGACGAGACTATTTCCGTCCCTCGGGAATAGCAGATTATATTAGTATGTTAGGCACTAATATACCATATAGATATATTTAGCACAGACTATTTAAAATAACTTGACCGCTCCGGCATCCTTATCTTTACTAAATTAAAATCAACACATCCAATTCAACATTATAAATAACAAAATGTTATATTACAAAAATTACTATTATGTTATAATTGTAATTCGATAAATATTCAACTTTTTTATTACATTTTTAAACGATTTTTTAGGGGTGCTGATTTTGACTTAGGGGGTGCTAAGGACCCAAAGCACCCCCCTAGTTGCGCCAATGGTTCTAAAACATTTATAAAACTAATAATCATCGTCGTCGTTACACTGTTTAAAAAGTTGTCATCACCATTATATCGACTGCTCGATTTTATTTTATTTTACTATTTCTCTTAAAGTTTATAGCCTAACTACGAGTGCAAGTCTCAATCTATTGAACACGACTGCATTTGGTATGTTCTTACACGAAATATATCAGGTTACATATGTAAGTGCTATATATATACGAGATATCTCGTGCAGGAAATCGCATTCACCAAAAATGATACCTACTCTCTTAGATTTTCGGGCATTCCGTGTAAAATAGTATAATGTCGAGCTTTCTCTGTTAAGTCCTTCACATACTGTTCATATACCGTTGCCGGTCGTTTTAATTCTGTTCCTCTGTGCATTTTTCTACCAACGATTTTTATGTCAATAATTATTTATAAACATACAATGTACACTTACGTATTACTAACTTGCTGTTTTTTTGATTTCCTAGCTGAAAGCACGATAAACCAAACCATAGATGGTTTTTTCTCCGGGCACCCGTACAAATCCGTCGATCAGTTCAAAGCCACCAACGGTTATTTTAATCAAAAATAGAGAAATATTATACATGATAGAGAGAAATGGCGTGAAGTTGTGATGGTGGCAAAAACTCTTATAGAGTAGATTAAGCCAGAAGAAGAAGAAGCAATGGCTTACATTGCATTTTTGCTTTGTACGTAAACTTGGATTTTGTGAAACGCATAAAACTTTGCCGGTTGACTTGGCTGTGACACCACATTAATCAGGCCCGTTGGCCTCAATTAAGACTGCAATTATTTATTGTTCTTAATATATATATATATATATATATATGTATTTTTATTTTTTGTTAAATTGATATATTGTATTATAAAACCACGTATTTTGCGTCAAAAAGACTTTCATTGTGTTACAAAAATGTCAAATAAAATGTTTCTTGTTGACATAAAACCTTAATCCGATCCTTGTTAAAGTATGATTATATAGTATTCTATCGTATATGGTGGTAAGATATTATATACAACATTAAGTGAACAACGGATGGGTTTCGTATAATAATTAAATGTATCGCGAAACGGAACTGACTAAGTAGCCGATGACACCTTATTGTGGTTCGTAAGTGATTTTGTAAGTTTTACAAGTTCGATTGTTGACGACCATAAACGACGAAAGCACTTTCCATTAAGAAAACGTTGCCTCGAGATGAGCTCACGTGTATACAAGATAAGTACAATCCAAATAATGGTTACGTGATAAAAGTTTAAGCTGTTGTTTTTATTTATGTTTTAACTATAACTTGTTATGTATAAAATATTAAAATCTTAATATTTAACTGTTATATTTTATGTAATGTGAATTTTCAGTTTTCTAATTTTGGTTCAATTGTAAATAATAGTTATAGATATGTCGTTTACGATAACTATAACGCAGCGGGGCACATCGGGTCGGGTAGCAGGTAGAAGATAGGGGGAGGACCAGTCAGTGGCGGTGGCGACAGCGAAGGGACCAGCGGGAACCAGCGAGGACCAGCTATCGGTCGTATACGTTAACGATAATGCGGCGGTGGCACAACGAGTCGGGTAGCTGGTAGAGAGGGGGGATACCAGCCAGCAGCAGTGGCAGCGGATTGGGTGGGAAGGAACAATCAGCGGCGGCGGCGGCGGTGGAGGGACCAACGAGGACCAGCTATCGGTCTTATACGTTAAAGATAACGCAGCGGCGGCGGCGGGAAGACCAGCGAAGACCAGCAGAACTTGCAGGAGAAAATGGATTTCCTTTGTACTAGGATCGGCAAATATATACTACTTTTGTACTTTCAATTCCATCGTTTGTGCTCAACCCTTTTCCAAGCTATCCGACTTTGAAAGTTGGGGAATGTGTACCCCAGCTACTTCCCTTTAAAATAATAATAAAAAATAATTCTTCGCGTGTCGTTGTTGATAACTGTTTACATAATTATTTTTTTCTCTTTGGTCTAGCCGTAAAAACCAAATAAATTATTACAATCGAACGAGGAAGCAAGGGTTCACTTCTTGACTAAAATGTTATACTTTTGGCTGCATTTTTCACAAACTCAATAAACAAATATTTACAAGCCATCTTTTTAGAAAAAACTAATTTCGTATTTTGGAGGTAATATTTTGTATTTTTAAGACTTTTTTTAACCTCCTGAAAGCTACTCTAACTTCCATCTATACATTGATAGATTAAAATAATTTAGTATCAACTACGTTAAAATAATTTTACAATTTCATACTATTCATAAAACAATTATTTTACTATTTAAATAGTTTTAAGAAATACAATAGTTGAAAACAATAATCTATATTATAAATTTTTAATGAATGTTAAACCAAATAATATCAACAAATCAATCTGATTATATAAATAAACGTAATTAAGTGACATTAAGTGTTCAGAAATAACGAATTATTGGATATATAAACAACTATATTATACTTGTATGAGTATTATATTTAATTAAATTATTAAAAAAAATAAAAAATATTTTAAAAATTAATATGTTAAATTACACATATAACACCATTACTATATTATGTATATAAGTAACAAAATATTTACTAAATTAATTTAATAGATTATTAATATGTAAAAATTTGATTTATTCGATAATAATAATTTACCATAATAACCAATTTGAATCTTTGATCATTCTTTATGTCCAAAATATAAATATGTGGATAAAGATTTAATTAAGTAATATCGGTTTCTTTGACAGATAACCAAGACCGCATTAAAGGGAGGCACTGGCTACAACTGCTCCGGGCGCCAAAATTTTGTGGTCGGAAATTTGCTCACTTGTGAATTATTGAACTTTTAAAATTATTTTGAAATTATTATTTTTTTTGTTTTTAATAATAGTATCATAAATTAATGTTAATGTATTTAATTCATTAATATATATTATTAGTCTATTTATAGCAATATAGCTATCAGCGATCCAGAATATTATTAATATACCTAATATTAGTTCCCAAATTTGTTGTGATAATGTCAATAAAGTTTTTTATAATAATACGGCGTATTATGTTATCGCGTGCGGCGTATATACAAACTATACAAAAATAGCATTGATTTTAGAATATCTAAAAGGTTCTTGAGGATCTATCTCCTATATTTTCCGTGGGCAGGCCCCTTAGAGGGCGCCAATTTTTTTTGGGGCCGGGACGCAATATGTTTAAAAACGGCATTGCAGATAACAACCGTACCTATACTAGATATAAAAAAAAATATATTTTCATAAGAACTAACTTAACATGTAGTATGGAAAACTGATAAACTATTATATATTTACTGTAAAATGTGAATCATAAATAATTGGTTTTTCAATTAACATTCTATTATTTGTAAGACCATAAATAACACTTGTAGTACTACTATTGGATACATTATATCACATAAAAGTATAACATTTTAATATATATTATAATATTAAAAAACCGTTGTTCTTATTATAAAATAAATATAATGAACCAATTGTTATTTGTATTTTTTTTAACTAGGTTATAAAATATCAATATAATAATATTTAATAACATTTTGAACGATTATAAAATAAAATACAAAAACTATAATAATGGTTACAAACCTTTGATTTCTCTTTAAATTATGTCACTATATCTGAATACTACAAAACAATTTACTTTTCTAGAAAACATTTGTATACCAGGGAAAAAATATTCTATTTTATTCAAATTTCATAGATTTAACAAATTTTATTTCTCAAAACTCATTTTTTGATTTTGCACTTTTCTCCAGCACATATTATGTTTGAAAGTAGAATATGGCTCACAATTCATTTTGGTTTTTACAGCTATGAACCAAAGAAAATAATTTTGTGGACAGTTATCATTAGAGACGGGAGAAGAAAAAAATATTTCTACAAATGGAAGTAGCTGGAGTACATTTAATTCTCCAACTTTCAAACTTGTATTCCTCTGGAAAGAATTGATCACAAACAACGGGATTGTAAGCACAAACCAGCACAAACAAATGGCATAGTTTTGGTTTTGAATTTCCAAAATGTAGGAGCCATGTCCCTGTAGCTCCGATTGTTTGTACTCACATAATACAAAGATAATACAAAATTGTTGACATCCTCACTGCCTATAAGGATTTATACAAATCACAAAATTTTACAAAAATAAAAAACAACTTCATTAATCCAACAATAATAAGAACTAAAAAAAAAACAAAAAATAACATATTATCAAAAAATTATACCATTATACGGCGGAGGGGGTCCAACCTGCCATTAATAAAAATGTTTGCGTTTTTTACCTTGGTGGAAATGCTGTAAGGATAAATTTGGATGGTCCTCAAACTAGTATACATTTTTGCTCTTTACCGAAACGAGTTCACGTCACTAATTTTATCGCGCACGGCACTCGATTACGTTGAATCCGTCTCGTACGTCCGTTTTACGGAAACAACGAGTTTTCCGAGAAACGTGGTAATCGGTAAGATTACCGCGGTTGCTGTGACATAGCGAAGCAAACACGGAACATTGACCGCGGTACTATGAGCACCATCGCAGCTCAAAACTGCGCGCACAACCTCGTTCCAGTTTCGTCCGGTTTCGCACCGCAACCGTCGTTCCCGCGTCTCGTTCCTTTCATATTTTCCATTTTTTTTTTCTCTTCGCTTTTCCCTTTTCTTTCCCGTTCGCGTTGTGCGTTCGAATCGCTGCATCCAACAAATCTGACCGCGTACGCTCTTAACGGCCTTATTGCGTTCTTTGTGCGAATCGTACGCGTATCGAGTGCTGCCGTGTCACGCGAATCGATCGAAACCGTTTAATTGTTATCTTTACGCGAAATGTTGACGACGCGGTGTTCGGTTTTTTTTTTCTCATACCCGCCAACCGAGCATAGTAGACCAAGAGAGTTGAAACACACGGAAAAAAATGAAGAAAATGTAAGTGAAAACATATGTACAAGAACCTGTGATACGGCCGTAAAATACATTAACTACTGGAAACGCAATTTCGGAGGTAAATCTACCGTGAACAACGGTATAAAATATATACGGATAAATTTCTATAAAATAGATCATCGTTTCTCTAATAGAGTTTAAACAATTTTTAATGAAGACGTTTCACAAAATATCGAACGTCTACACCAGTATGCCCCCAACGGAAAACCTATTATTATCAAACGGCTCATTAAAAGTTTTTATCTCTTTCCGTGTATCAGCCTGCCTACGGTACCTATTGATGGGGTTTGCAAGCGAATTATTCAACGGTTTTACGGCGACTCGACTGCTCGGCAAAAGAAATTGGTAAATTATTATTGAAACGGAATTATTTACGACTTGACATACTATATACATCGCTGTTGCAATAGCGCGAGCGAACTCCATCAATTTCCCAATAATAGTACCTACCATATAATGTGTCTGTGTGTGTGTGTGTGGAAGAAGAAGAAGACGGGGGAAAAAAATGAAAAACACGCTGTAACAATATCGTAAGACGCGTGTGTTTTGATTGATCGTCCGGATCGCACAGGCGGTATAATAATAATAATCATCATCATCATCTATATCGCGTGTTGTGGATTATCCGTAGTTTCAAACGTGAAAAAAAATCTTATTGACGAGTTTTCGATCCACCCGTAAGCGTTGTGCGCTAAGTGTTGCGGCGATTTCTTTGGCCGTTTCAAGGGCATATTTGAGGGAGGATGGTAAAGGAAGTATTCGTCCCCCCATGGCTCGTATTTTTTTGAATATAATACATTAATTTATTTAAAAAATGTAATGTATAAATAATTAAGAATATGAATTACTAGTCTATCATTATACTTATAATATGTTATCATTATAATAGAAACATGAGCTGTAAGTAATGAACTGTAAATTATTTTTAAGTTCATATTAAAGAAAAATTAGTTTCGCCCCCCCCCCTAGGCGCAACTCAAATACGCCCTTGCTGTAAGTGCTAATGAGTAATCTATAAAATAAATATAAATTTTTCATTTTTATCATTATTTTCACCCAGAGTTTAAAATGTGTTGTGATAGTATGTAAGTGTGGAGCCCTACATTGGTTGTTTTAAGTTAACGCTTTCAGGTAAGAGGATCGTAGTTTCTCAGAATTGTAATTCTAGTTGTAACTCGTGCGTAGCCCTATAGTGAAATATTGTGTCTAATCGAATTTCACGTAAACGTCGTTTACGCACGTTGCGCTTTCCGTATCCGGGTGCCATGATATCGATCAGTGACCACTTCAAAATACGTTTAACAACGTAATACTTCATGTTTCAATTGTTTTGTCATGTTATTTTTATTTTTATTTTCCGTAAAATGCGGCTTTTTTAACATTAAAGAAATATTGACCCGTGTAAACATCGTTAACGGCTAGACAACACTACGGTGACGTCAACCGTTTTTGGAGCAGCTCGTGGAAATTTGGTCAAAAAAATTCAACAGTTTCTTGTCCAACGTTTTCGTGCAACCCTTTTTCCATTTTCGTAACAGACCACTTTGCACTCGTTCGCGCCGCACCAGCGTACACTGTCGCTGTTGCGCTTGTCGGACGTGGCCTCGGCCACTGGAATGCTCAACGTGGTGGCGGGGGTGCACCGGTTGCACGGTTGCCGTAGTCCGAAGTCGTAACCGCGATGGTCATATTTGGTGTAGGCTATGGCCGCGGGGACGGGGCCGACGCGTCTTTTGGCTCTGGGAGCGTGTCCTGGTGGTCACGGGACGTAACGAACCGGTTGACTAGAAGCCGCGACCGCGGATTTCCGTACCCGGTGTTCCCAGTTACGCAACATCCGCTGCCGCATTTTCTTGTCTACCGGTGGCTTGGCCCACGCAACGTCGAGACACACGCCCGAAGCCACGTCCCTGGAACAGTCCAGCGCTTCCATGGCCGACTGCGCATCCTCACGTCGCTCAAAGTGAACGAACGCGTAGTTCTTTAAGTTCTTCACGTGCTCCACGACCCCGTACCGGCCAAACATCTTGGCCAGCACGCGTTCGTGCAGCACGCCACCGTACTGCTTGACGAACAGTATGCGTACCTTAGCCATCGTGTCCGCGTCAACTTGCGATTCCGGGTCCACCCAGTCCACCTTCGTCTTGCACCCGAAAACCTTTTGCTTTGACAGTGCCCGCTTGGCGTCCGTAACCGCGGCCACCGATCTGTAGTCCAAGAAGCAAAAGCCCCGGTGCATCGACGGATCGTCGAAGTTCTTGTACGTGATCACACGAACCAAATGACCGCGCGTTATGCAGCTCACTTCATCTAATATCTCTTTTTCTGTCTTCAACTTTGGCAGGTAGCCCACGTACAGCCTGCACTTTTGGCTGTCGTCCTTGGTGGTCGAAATGCTCTCCGAACGGTTCGTCATAACGATTCTATCGCGTGGTCAACTGTAGGTCTTAAGCGTGGTCGACGATACGATACGCGCGTGATGGTGTCGCAAATGCCTCGTTTCTTGATCGTTTTTTTTTTTTTATTCTCTTTCTGTCCTCAGTGTTTCCGTTATGTTGTCTTGTTAACAATGAGTGTTCGATTAATATTTCGTACTTGTTTTACACTCGTTGAAAACAATCGCTATGGGTTAGATGATATTGATTTTGTATACATAGCCAGCTGGCTATTACATAGCACTATTTATAATCGGGTGATTTAGTGCCTTTTTATATATAGATATATATCCGTCGTTCGTAAAAAAAAAAAAAAAAACCGTGAAACCGATGCACATGGGGTGCCGTGATCAAGTTCGAACAGTTGATGATGTGATCACCGCCGACGTTACGCATTAACAATGTTTTTAGATTGTCAACCGGACGTGATAAATTTAGCCGATCGTCTACGAATGCCAACGGGCTCTTCGTCTCGAAACGCTGCAAGTGCAAGCGAAATCGTTGATAACACTAAGGATAATACGTAACGATAACCGACCGTGTAACCGACTGCTTGGGTCGTACGGGTAACATTATAATCGAAATACGCACGTGCACCATCGTGTGCAGATTTGCGAAGATACCGAATCGCAAAAAACTCCCAAGGGTGTATTTGAGGGAGGGGTCGAAGGGGGCATTCGCCCCCTTTATGGCTCGTATTTTTTTTGAATATAATACATCAATTTATTTAAAAAATGTAATGTATAAATAATTAAGAATATAAATTACTAGTTTATCATTATAATATGTTATCATTATAACAGGAACATGAGCTGTAGGTAATGAACTGTAAATTATTTTTAAGTTTGTATCAAAAAAAATTAGTTTTTCCCTTCCCCCATGGCCTCAACTCAAATACTCCATTGGGATGTTTATTTTAGTTCGAACCTTCGAGAACCCATTGATATTATACACGCAAGCGGTATAGTTATAATACTTATTTTACAGACGTGGAAATCAATAATAACCAAGCGATTAGACGGACACGTTACTTGAAAGGCAGACGTATAAAATTCTCGGTGGTAACGTATTGAATATTTTATAACATAACTAGCTAATTACCCGGCTTCGCATGGATCATTCTTGGCCGTGACATAGGTTTTAATGGATTATTACTTTACACTACTTAAAGCCAAGTTTGGTGTAACTTTTGGTGGTTATAAAACAAATAAGACGAAAGTTCAAATGAATCAGTATAGCAATTTTGGAGATACGCTGAATTACTGTATTTTCTGGTTCCAATATTTTTTTAAATCTCTTCTTATTGCATATATTGAATATTGGAAAGACCACCATGTCAAATTTCGAGTTCATATAGTTTTGAGATGTAGCGATGATCAATGAGTGAATAATACCTGACGTTGTCCGTAAAGAAAATTGTGAGTGTTCAACTCTTTTTGGGTGTTAGCGTTGAACCTATGCCTTTTTAAGTATAAATCACCCAAAATAACGGTTGAAATATTAATTTGTTATGATTATAATAAGTAAATAATAAATATAGCCATGTCTATCACACTTTGCTGCACCTTTTACTATATTTAAGCATATACTAATATCCTTACAACAATGTTCAATTTATTTTGAATTATTATTTTTTTATTTATTCCTTTTATTGAAAAATGTCTGAAAATTCGAGGTTTTAAATAAATGCTATTTATTAAAGTGTATTTGGATTGCACAATATTTTTTGTTTTTCTTTTTTGTGATACGTACACAAATAAATCCAGGCACGTAGCTAGGTATTAAGGGGGGTGTTACTTAAAATTATACACAACAAAATAATTACTTTACGTATACTTTATTGTACAAGCATACAAACAAATTAGTATATTATACATGAATATATATTCGTGTGTAATGTACTACTCTATGAGAAAGTATTTAAATATTTTATTAACATTTCAAATGTACATTTTTGTCGTATGTACCTATTTTACATCGTATATAATACAACACAAAACTACGTCTTTGGTTTATTAGACAAAAAGGTCGGATCCCGGCTTTACAATATTGTTATAAATATATTTCTTTATGATAAAAATGTTTCCATCATGGTTTATGATGAATTTTTACCTTTATAAGACTTAATTATAACACGGTTAAAGGAGGGTATTACTACACCTGTAACACCCTCCCCTGGCTACGCGCCTAAATAAATCAGGTTTTCTAATGCATGAGCAGGCCACACACAGCTATTCATTTGAGAAGCGTGAATTTTTATAATTCAGTCCACACACTTGTTTTAAGTGTCTTTGTAATTTGTTAAAGATCATTGCAAAAGCGAGTCGCACTGGAAACTGCAAAAGTTTGAATTCCAATGGCTAATCTGTTGGAGTCATTGGGATGCATGGTAATAGTACATGTTCACCTTTAAATTTTCCGTTTAAAATTATGGCTTCGATTATGTTGTTATATAGTTTAATAATTTACATAATTCTTAATCGGTGATTATTAAAATCAACATATTAAACAAATTAAATATTTCCTAGCTAACCAAAAATTGAAAAATGTATGCATCCAGTCCAAAACTGTTTCGACCCTTAAATATGCGATTTACAAAAAATCCTTTCTTATTATCCAGTGAAAGACTGTTTCAAATTTCAGGTGCGTACATTGAATAGTTTTGAGATTCAGCGAGTGAGTCAGTTCAATGAGTCAGTGGTATTTGGATTTTATATGTATAGACTATTTTATTATAATAATAATATTATATAATAAGTGTAAAACAAAATATCGTCGAGGGTTTGTTTCGCAGTTTTAAAACGGAATTTTTTTACGCGTTAGACACTGGCAAGTTCTAGCGGACAGGCGCATATTATATTCGTCCGCGGTTCGTGCCGGAACATGAGTTTATTTACCAAAGTTTAAAAATAACGTGTCTGAATAATTATCAATTCATTTTCTAACAGAAAAAAAAAGCACGAAAGAATTTATATTTAAATTTTATTTTATGAACTCTAGGAAATGAACGTGTAAAGATGTTTGAAATAAGATTTTAAATTTTTTCCGAATTCAGTGTTGATTGCTAGGATGACTATTGGGGGGGCGTATAACACTTAGTGTTTCTTTGGACGTGAACATCTTACAAATGCAAAAGCGATAATATTTTGATGTGTCCACTGCCTTCTTTACAGTATGTCTCCGAGTGACGTGGTTATCGATTGATCAGTTGTGATCAACACACACAGACACACACACACACATAACTATACGAAGCTTATAGTTGTTAAAACATATTTCGTGTGGTAAAAAATAATCGTTGTCACGCATGCACACTATTAAATATGCATAGGTATTATAAATGCGCTATGTATTATTCAAGTGCAAATTCGAAGCAAACTGTAATATTATTATCCAAGTTAGTGGCGGGACTATATCGTTTCTTGCTAACAATCTTATATCCGGTCTAGTTTCGAAACGTTCTGGCTTTTCATAATTTTTAAATAATATAACTGGCTCGACCGACGAATCACGATTGAACGATCGAATGAAATTATAACACAATTTTCTGTAGTAATACATATAATATTGTATTGTTGCTTTATAACTTTATGGAAATTATTGGTGTGAACTTAAAAAATGGTAGGTCACTAGTAATATCTTCAAACCATAGATTCATTTTGTCCATTTAAATGTTCGATATTTTTTGTAGTTGATCAAATCCAACATTTTTTTCTAAAACTTTTTTAATTTTATCATCAATCGCTTTAGCTTGTGTATATCCCTCAATTTTTGGAGAATGTATATGTTCTTTTATAGTTTAAATTATTTTAATGAATTCAGTTAGTGCCACACCTTGGGTTTCAATTTGAAGGATAGATGAAGAAATAAATCCATACATTTTTTTATAAAACTAAAAACTTACTCTTTCATATAAATAATTGTCAAATATGCACTTATAAAATGAAAAATGGTCCAATACGCACTAATAAATGAAAAATGATCAAATATGCAAAGTATGCAACTATAAATTTTAAATATAAACTTATATTACTATGAAACAAATTTCTATATTACTTAGTAATGTTTTTGATAATTATTTAAAAACATGCAAACTCCTAGAGGTCCCGAACCCTACTCATAACGTTTGTACGTTACATATTATTATGATAATAACATGAACAAAGTGGACACAAGTGCGACGAAGAATTTAAAAACAACAATCGAATGTATGTGATGATGGAACGCGATTCATCCGAGTCATGTAACTACCACGCTGTAACCCGGTAATAGCGTAATCGACGGTATCCGATTATTTAACCTAAACGAAACAAATCGGAGTACAAACAAAACGTGTGTGGCGTAATATTATAATGTATAGGTTGAACGAAAGGGAGCGCGCAACAAGGATGGGGCCTCGGTGCACAAAGCTTTTGCGAAGAAGGACAATTCCGAAACCCGGGAAGCGCGCCATTGTATGCGGTACACGTAATGGGGTAGCCCCGAAATTGTTTAAACGCGACTTTTACGCAAAACCGTTTCGGAAGGATATAATAATAATAATAATAATAATAACGATAATAACAGCTAGTATTATAATAAATTTTACGTGCGCCTCCGCTGTCGTATAGCATATTATTGTTTTACTCGTATAATAATAATAATAATATGTAAATAATATAATGTATAAGCACGCAGTTTAGGTGCAAGATGATAATAATAATAATAAAATATCTCACATACATTATAAATTATATCGCACGTAGGTAATCATAGACACATGTATGTATAAAATAATCCGTATAATGTATCGTAATGCGCGAATGATTAATGTGTTCGCGTTGATACCCGCACTTAAGTCGGATATGGCTCTCACGGAGTAAGGCGTTCGCGATGTATTTATTTATTTCGCCGTAGAGTAAAAAAAAAAAAAAAACGAATGAACATATTTATACACAAATAATATATTTATTATGTCCGGGCCTTCTCTCGACGTTCAATA